AATTATTAAGGGATGGGTTTCATAGGACACAAGCTAAACTGAAGTGAATATCAGGGATAGTGGCTTGCACTTACCTTTTTTTTTGCCCAATATCAGAAAAAAAAGTAGCTTGAAGACACTGAGTGAACCCATTGCCTGTTTATAGGTCAACACCTTGTCCATACAAGACATCGAAGATGAGCCTTTGCAGTTTAAACTGATTGAGCGAGGAGGAGAGAAGTTCTTGATCCAGACGCAGACACCAGAAGAGAAGAGTACTTGGTTTCAAGAGATACGAGATCTGTTGAATCAGCAGCAGGACTTCTTACGAGGTAAGAACAAGAGTGAGGAGGAAGAGGTAGGGCAGCTCTCGGAAGTCTAGGAATCTCAAGAAGGTTAGATAGGAGTTTGTTAATTCATCTTTGGTTTTTTAACTTTCTTCTGCAGCATTACAGTCTCCAATACAATACCAGAAGGGTCTGGACTCTACCGACAAGAAAGGGTAGGCTGGAGCTTTTCTTTCATCTTCAAATGGATATTGAAACTACCGATTTGTTTGTAGATGTTGCAGTTGACAAGAAGAAGTAGCATCAGAAAACTTTGTTGCCTATCAAGTAGACCCGATGGATTAGACCATACCAAATTATCTGTTTCTGTATTTATTTGCATTTCTGTCTTTGCTCTACTTCTTTTTCTTTACTTTGATTTCCTACATATATTTCATTTCTTCTGGAAATCACTTTCTTCTTGATGAGTCTTAATGAAAGTTTTTTAGGAGATTAAACGTCTATCAAAAAGGCCTTTCAGAAAAAGCAAAGTGTCTCTGTTAATTTCTGTCAACAGACCAGAACCAGCCCCTCCAGCCAAAGCTTCATCAGCTAGCAGTATGTTCTCCAAACTACGCAAGTCCAACTCACAGACAAGTGACCAGCCCGCCTCTTCACTTCAAAAGCAGCACGCCCTCTTCAGTAGTCTTAAAAGCCATCGTAAGAACCAGACAGCACCGGCCGCCATCTCGCTGGCTGAGTTAAAGGATAAAGAGAAGGCAGCCAAGAAGAAACCTCTGAGCGGGCAACCTGAGGAGCCTACATCCCCACCTGTCCTGCCCACACAGCCAGAAGACAAGACTGAAAAAGATGGACTCAAAACTCAGAACCATAAGAACTCATGTGAGAAGGAGAACCAGCAAAGTGGCTCACCCTCACTGCGCAAGAAGTTCTTTGACGGGTTGTTTCACTCGTTCCGACCAAGTAAGTCCAGGGACACGTCCCCGATGGGATCCAAAGAGAGTTTGAAGGGAGGCAAGGAAACAGGGTCATCCAAGGAGAGCATAGACAAGAATAGTAACAAATCATCCCCGCTGTCAAGCAACGTGGATCTAGCAGGTGCATCACCTCTGGATCAGGAATCCGATGCACAGAGGAACTCTAAGAGTCCGCTCAAACGAACTCAGAGTGCACGAGATTCTGTACCTACTAAATCCAGCCAAGGTGGATCCACAGGATCACTGACCTTGCCTAAGAGTGGCACACCACCACCACCCCTGGATACCACACCAAGCCCAGTTGGGCTAGCAGCTCCCCCGCCAAGCAGGGAAGGGGTCTCCCCAAGATCCAAGCGAGCCTCCACAGGGTCCATCCAAAAAGACCAAGAGCTAGGCGCCAGTGGGAACAGGAAGGTATCGTTAGACTCGTCACCCTACCGGAGTAGAAATATTGTTGAAAACAGAGCAATGGAGGCCTCTGGAGCAACGCAAAATCGACTCAGCTACACATCTGTGTCCAGTGCTGAAGGAGATGATACATTTGTGAGTGCCCCCTAAGAAATTTAATCATTGTCTTAGTAAAATAACCATACACTTTGAGCCAAGGTAAAGCCCAAGAAGGAAGTCACTGTTAAATTTGGATACCACCAGCTTAAGGCTATATAGAGCAACTGCTGATGTTTCAGATCCAAAGGTGTCAGTTTCCGTTGTTCAACCTCAAATGGATGAAGTCAGTGTAAACTATTTCATCAAACAGCCCAGCTGTTGATGCATTAAATTGGAGCTGGAGATACTCTGCCCTAGACAGGTGGATAGAGTTGACTGATTGGCAGACATGACTGAACTAGAATGGTGCACTCCAGTGATCATTACAACTAACAAGATTAACATACCTCTGTCTTCAGTAGTGTTTCTTCATCGGCTCAAAATGATCACGTGAGAAAAATACATAAGTTAACGTCACACTGATTGGTGGAAATTGCATTAGCTAGGTTTGCACAATGCAATGCGCACACACAAGAGTGAATGAAAAAGAGATATGAGAGATATGAAAAAAAAAACAATTGATGACCGCTGTGATGTGGGATATGAAGTATGGAACACTTTTGAGTAGGCATAGGGCCCTTGGCTTGTCCTCACGCACTATGCATCCCTTGGGTGTTCAAAATGTTATATCCCATATGACAGCAGTCAACAACTATTTTGTAGATTTGTACCCAAACTTGAAGCCTTGTAAATGTCACTTTCAACTCAACAGGTTGAGTCCACATGCATGTCTCCAATCATCTCCAACTACACGGCAGTAAAGGAAGATGAAATCACGGTTACCAAGGGTGACATGGTGCAGATTCTGGCTGCCAATCAGCACAACATGTTCTTGGTTCATCGAGCCTCTTCGCAAGACTCACCAGCAGCTGAGGGTTGGTTGCCTGGTCGTGTCCTGGGTAATACAAAGGATCTCCTAGGAAACCAAGGAAGCTCTCCTACACAAGCTGATCCCACTTCTGCCACCAGCAGTGAAACAACCCCGAAGTAAGGCAACTCACCTCTTTGTGTTTGAGAAACCTACCTTCTACCCTTCCCCCTTGTTGACATTTTCTCAAATTTCATCTCCCACCACCACCAACACAGCCATCTTGAACTCACACCAGTTCTTTGATCTCACAACAGCAACAATAAAAATCCTCTGAAATGTTTCTAGACTTCAACTATTGTTTTCAAAAACCAAACTGAGTGGAGGAGACTAGTAGCTTTGTTGTTTGGACATGCTGTTGGATCTTCTTTGCTATGAATCTGATCCAGTACTAATATAGTCATATGGTTTGAAGTGTGGTGTTTGAATGGATTTGGGCCAGTCAGGGAAGCTAATTGTTGTCCCGAGACATCAGAGAGGAAAAGAAGTGTGAAAAACAACAAATGTTGTCGGTCATTCCTCTAACGTTTTAGGAAAATCTTAAAGGCAAGCATTTTTTACAATTTGAAGAAACAAACCTGCCAGTGTCTTTGATTTTCTTTGCAGAAATATGGCAATGTTCTCAAGTCGTTGCAATACATTCTTTTAATGTTGCATTTTGTATTCTAAGTTTGGCTCTGATCTTATCCCATTTTTTTTTAATTGTTGACACAAGTTCAAATTTCAGATTAAAACAATTGAAACTAAGTACTAAAAACTTGATAGCCAAAGTCAAATATTGCAATAGCTGTTGGGGGAATTAATTGATTGGAAAAAACTTTTTGGTTACTTTTTACATTGAAGGAATGACATGATGAAATCAGTTAGCAGAATACAATGATTAGTTTAGCTGCTGGTAGAAAGCTCCTTAGTTGTCTCGTGTGACTTACGCTTTTTGAAAACAAACACAAAGAGAAACAAGTTTCCTGCTTGGCTCTAAACTATGGTGTCTGGCTTCCCTTAGCTCTTACAACTAAATCTCAAGACTAATTATTAACAACTTCAAATTCCAACTGTTATATATTTTATTGACCTAAGTCTGGCTGCACGGTTGTTGGTTGCCCTTTGGAACAACAAAGAAAAAAGACCAAAATTTCTATGTTATGTTTTTTAACATAACATGTTATTGGATGGCGCTTTTTGCTTGACAAAAATAGTGAATTCTGTATTTGCAAATTTCCTATTGCTTGACAGAAGCTCAAATAGTTGAGCTCAACCATTGTAGACTGGCATTGAGAATCATTTCCCATCAAATAAAAACCATCAAACCCATCCAGATTTCCAAATTTCTATCAGATTTTCAGACTAGTCTACAGTTTTGTAGCCTGGCTTTGACAAAATGGGCTTTGTATTTTTTTCATCATAGTTCGTAACGAAACATCTCATCTTTCTTAGAAATGAACTTAGAGTTGAACCTGAAATGTTAAAGCCAAACGCATGTTTTTGTTTTTGTTCTGTCCCATTTTTCACATCATAAGCATTTCAACAAAATCATGTTCTTCCATCCATGAAAATTCCATCCTAAAAACCAAACATTGTGTCAATTTGAATCATTTCAAGAAAAGTCCATCAAATCTCTTCATATACCACAGGCTTCATCAGATAATTGTTCTTGGGAAGATAATTGTTCTTGGGAAGGAGGTTGAGGGAGGGATTGCCAAAACATTGGAACCTCTCTGCAGACCTACTGTGTGGTTGTCTCATTGTTAAATTGTTCTAGTAAAAGAGGAAAATCCTGCTAGAATGTAAATTGAAAAGCAAAGCAAAATGAATATGTTGAATTTTGTTGAAGGACCAAAACATCAAGATGCATTTTATGAAACATTGGGGACAAAACTGGAAGTGAAAAATCCTCCTCAGTGAAAAAGTATCAGGGAAATATGATGGAAAGATTTTCACCCATACTTTAAGAAATTACAGTTCTCAATGTCAGTTGAATCTAAGTCTAGGATTTTTTCCTATGGCATATTAGCATAAAAACTTTGGGGAGACAATCTAGAGACTTGTTGATTCTTTAAAAATACATTTTTGATAATACAGGGTATAAGAAAACACCACTGCAGCTTAGTTTGTGAAATGATTGGGTTTTTGCCAATGATAAATTTGCCTGCTACTGCTTTAAAAACAGACCTACGATATTCCCTGGACACAGGCAATTTATGCAAGAAACTGCAAATGTTTATACAAATTGTCCTTGTTGTCCTATTATATTTTATTTGATTTTTCATTTAATCAATCAATTTTAAAACCCAAAACTTTTCCATGTTTGCTATCGAGATATCTGAGATTTAGGTTTAATTTTGTTTAAATGAACATTAAGAATGAAGCTTATCAAACTTAGTAATGCAGAAAGTTACTTGAACCACGAATGTAATTTTTGTTTAAGTTTTAAAAGTACTTTTATCATTGTAAGTTGTTTGAAAGCAAATACATGTGTTAATTGGGGAGGGACAGTCCTATTCATAGCTTTGGATTGAACTGTAAATCCTAAATATTAGTACCATATGTAAAAATATTTTAGAAGTCATTGTAGCTATATGAATAAGATAAACACTAATGTTAAAGTAGTCTTTCATAAACCGGTTATACCACGGCTGACGTGCAATTTTGGCCAAAAACTATAAGACATCAGGAAGCAGTGTATGATAACGTTGTAAAATTATCCATGTACTGTGCATCTCATGAATAAACAGTGGTGATTGTTGGTGTTTAGAACAGTCCTTTTATTAGTTGTAAACCCAGTACATTGCTGAGGTTTTTAAACACCAGTCAACACTGTTGATATTTAGGAAACAGTACGCCTGATAAAATGTAAGTGTATTCTCGGAACTGTGTATTTTTACAATGTGTGCACTGGATTGCTCTTTGAAAAAACTGTAATCTTTGATGTAAGTGCTGTGACATCTGTCAATGTGTTACCATACTTTCACCCTCTTTTTTCAATGGTATGGTCACTGTTAATTAGGAATTAATAAATGATTAAATTCAGACTCTACTGTGATGTTACCAGACACCTGTCTTGAGTGTAACAGCCCGGTACCACCAAACACTGTGATACACTTGGCATTCTACTTTCATCTTGTAGTTTGGAGATGTTATTAGCTCAGTGAGATGTGTCTTGTGTGATAAACTAAGAGATACAGGGAGTGATAGATGGTGACAAAATCGCGATGGGGAGAGATGGTAAGAGAGAACATTCTTTAATACATGTTACAGTTCAGAAGATGTATAAAAATATATTACCTGTACCTTTAATATGGCTACCTGGCCTTTCTTACATAGTTTTAAATTTCCAGGTGCATAGAAGACCTACATAAATGCTGGGATATATCAAGTTCACCCCACTGGCTTGTACAATTACAGCTTGATGTATTTCGTAGGATAGAATTCCACTTCATCTCATTGCACTGTACGTCACTACTTCCAATATTTGCCGTATTTCTTCACATCAGAGACTTCATTGGTACACCTGCTAGCTCATTTGTGCTCCCAGTGAAAGATTTACCTGAAATTGACACCTGCTTGGTGTTAAATGCAGCTAATACATCAGAAAAGCTTGTTTGGTTTGGCCTACTGATTCCTCATCGAAGGTCAGTATTTTTGTTGAAATTTATAGTTGAAATTAGAATTCAAGATGAAATACATTTTTTATAATGTGTACAAATACAAACTAGTCTTTCTTCATTATGTAGGCCTGGCCTCTGCATGAAGATTAACCTAGATGTATGTCGGCAAATGGTAGGAAGACAAAGTCATCTTTTTTTAGATCAATCAAAAAGGAACGTATACCTTATGATATTCATTTGCCATGATGAAGGGACAGACAGATTTTTTTCTGTGTTTTACTATATGTAAATATGTAGCAAAGAGGTGCTGTAGAAAGACTCTCTTATTTACAACACGTTGTGAGTGATGGTGTCTTGTGTGTCCTCTCTTGCCTGTGTTGGTAAAGTTTCTCTGACACGTCAGGTTGGACTAGTTTGGCATCAACTACTTTGCATTATTTATATGCAAATCTGTGACTCTCCGAAGGTGTAGATATGCAAATGTGAAAATGATTCACTATGATATAATTGAAGTGTCACTTTGTTTCTAAGTAGCCGTGGGAGAGGTTTCCGAATGTGGAAATAACCCCTAAAGACAATTCTACGCATTTTGGAAAGCATCAGAGTTTGAATTGCAAACTTACTCGCAGTTCAATTTCACGATGACTTTCTTTGAAAAAAACAATCAAAAAACAAAACAGTTGTCTTTTTTTTAAGAACAAATTAGTCTAGCTGTCCATACAAAGGCAACCGATGAAATATGTGAAGTTTGTATTTGTACGAAACTTAGAATGATAAACTAAGTACAGATAAGTTTACTATGATAAATTAATCTTGATGTAAGTGTTGAAGTTAGCATTCAAATGTGTGGTGGTGAAGTGTATAAAAACAAACAATGTTGAGAGACGTGAATGAGGCAGTACACTTATCTCTAACTTATTGACACTGTAATCTACTATGTAACTATTACTATTGTTATTAATATTGTTAAAAAAATACTATTGAAGTCTGTGTAAATGCTTGTTATTACTTCTACAGAGGGTTAAACTAGAGCATGTAAGGTGAACTTTTTTGCCCAGAGCTAAGTGGCAAGGAAAAATAAATTGTCTTAATTACATTGATTCCTGCTTCTGACTTCATTTTTCATCATAACAATATATTCATTAGATTGCTATTAACCTCTGAATTTATTTTGACATAAGTCTTGAAATGCAGAGTTATGCCCAGTTGTGGCATTCTGTAGTGTACTTGTGAAAGAACCTTAACCATTGTCCACTAGTCAATCATTTGGGCCCCGGTGGTAAGCAGTTTGTTTCTGCATTTACATGTACCTAGGCTGAAATTGAAGCACTTAAAAGCAAAACAGTTATATTAAAAGGTTAACATTAGTTGCTGTGCTTCTGATGAAGAAAACAACTGTCTATTTTTTTTACTTTCAAGTTTTTCCTGTGATTACAGCATGAGTGAAATTACCTTCACATCAGAAATGTTTTCAGTCATATGTCGTATGTGTAGGTAGCAGTTTTACTAATCTCAATATCAAATATCTTGCTCAAGAACACAAGAATTGATGATGTAACCATCTGACCTGTTCTTCTCAACTGGTGATAGCACAGCAATTTGCATGTGAAGAGGCTACAAGTGTTGGTTGTGGCACTGGGATGTTCCACTCAACATTCAATCTTTATATTGGGGAGAATTCTTCCCTGGTTACCCTGTAATACTGGGAACCAGCCAGATGACACCTTAACAGAATTTCTGATCAAGAGTACTCCTGTACTGCGAGGGATTGACGTCTTCTTCCTCACACAACAAGATCAACAAGACGAGCAGTTGTATCAAACTAAAGCAATGTTTAACATTACAGTAGTGCCATCATCTTCAGGAGTTAAGTATTTACCTGTATTGTTTTTGGCTGCATTGGTTTGTGTTGTGTATGAAAGGTTTATTTTCTGCCAACAAGAGATAGAACTCTGGTAAGATATCTTTTTTTATTCATGTACTGCACATTCCATGCTTGAGTAGAAACAATCCATGTAGCTTTGCACTGGTTTAGTTTCTTTGCTTTCCATTTTTTTTGGACGTGTATGTGGTAGTTTGTGTGTTTGCAGTAACCACTTGCCGTTAACTGTTCATGTATTGCTTGTGTTATGCCTGCCAGTGGGCTAAAAAATAGACGAATTGCCTGTGTTCTTTGCTTTAACATGTCTTTAACCTAAGTCCATTCATTTGTGTCTGTTCGATATGGGAAGGGGGGGTTGGTGTTGTGAAAAGCACAGGTTGTGGGGAAATGGGAAAAATGTAATGTATGTTGGGAAATTGCTTTTGTATGAAAGATATAAAAGATATGCATGATATTGCAGTTTGAATGTGTTTCAGAACTGGTACGCATGTGCTCTGAAACAATGCGGTATCGAAAACTGTTGAAGTGGGAAATGAACAGATTAATGATAATTTCAGATTATAAACACTTAAATGTTCACTTGACTGATGACAAAGTGAAGCTGTGATAAGCGCACAATGATTGGCATTGACTGCCCAGAATAATTCATAGGCAACAAACACTGAGATTGCTGACTCCTTATGAATACTGGCAATGTTACTTATTATTTGGTTCCAATTATTGATACAGGAAGCATGTAACAGTGGTCAGCACTTTTCTGACTGTAGGAATAGTGATCCACTTCCTGGAATGAATTGATCCAAGTATTGGTGCCATTTTATCATTTTCACCCGCCTGATGATCTCCAACCTGACCTAACATTCCACATTAGAGTTAGTCCATTCTCCATTTATAATATGCATGATTTAAGTAGTAATTACTAACTAAGCATCAATATGAATAGATCAAAAACAGTAAATTGGATGCTACCTACGGATGGTTTCGATGTAATGATAATTGAAGAGTAAGATCTTCAGTTTTATATTCTGAGAGTTATGTTTCTCATTCACATGAACACTTTACACAAAGCACCCCTATGTTTGCCTGAGACTGTAAGGTAGGTTGTCAGTAGCAGTAGTGTTCATTTTCAAGTTACCAGTCAAATGTTTGTATGGCTATAAGATTCCTTCAAGTGTATGAGGTATTCCAAGATGAAGATGAGAATTTCACCGTCAGTTTTTCAGGACTTGCACAACCTTTTTCTTGAAATAAATCCTAACATGAACTTTTCCTACATAAATTGACATAGTTAACACCAACTAATTTCATCTCATATTCATTCAGATATGGGCCATCGTGATTTAGTACTGGGAAATTAACACCTTCAACTCTCTTAACATATACTCAAAAAAGAATCCACTTTCAGATTCCAACAGTCTGGGTCATACTGAGTTTGGAATCTGTAAGTGTGTGACACAAACTGAAGGAGAGATTGTTTTCACTCCGCATCTCCCACAATCCTTTGCAGTCAGCCATCTTTTGATGTCAGGCTAAGACTGAATGATGTGTTTTATTGTAATGGCTGTGGCTTTTTTACCATAGCATGAAGTGGTGAGTAGCCATAGCTGGGAGTAGTTTTGGCAATTGACAAGAATGTCTGGTTTTTGACATGACATCAAAGATGGTGCATCAAAGAGATTCATGGGAAACGTGGTGTCAGTGCAAATGATCCATTGGGATCAAGGCTGGAATGGTTAAACAGAGAAGCAGGGTAGTGTTCAGTAACACAATCAGTAAGCCAGTTTTGGGCCATACCTACACACCTCCTGAAGCCAAATCCGGCGAACAGAATTAGAGGCCATTACTGGGGGGCCATCCTGTTGGCATGTAGGTGCTACACTCATGTTACATTCTTCTTTGACCAACTGTGTGTACATGCGCTCAAGTTAAAATTCATGGGTGAGTGTGATGGTCCCGGAGGAATGCTGTCTCTTTGGATTTGTCTATATAGCCCTCATTATTGAAGGTCGGCAGGAATGACACCCATTAGGTTACTGAATTTGAAGACATCAGACTAAGTGCCTAAGGAATATATTACCATGATTGTATTTGAAAGCTTTGGCAACAATATCAGGCCAATGTTGATAAAAAATACTTTGATACTTTTCTCAGGAAAACATCTTCATGGCATGAGGCATTTCGAATCCGCCGATCAGGTCACAAGTCAGATCGGAAGGAGAAACATTTCCTGCCTAAGATGAGATCCTGGACAGGATCTGACAGTAGCATGGATAGCAGCAAAGGAAGTCATCAGCGAGAAAAGGATTCCAAAGGATCTAAAATAGCCGCCAAGGTAAGCAGACTCAACTGACTTAAAAATACAACTGGTTGTAAGAGAATATTTGTAGACCCACACAGCTTACTTGAATTTAAATTCATGTAATAAATTTTGTGTTATTTTTAGCTTTTTCGGCTAGCTAACAGCCAAATTGTGTGTGTGTGCCCCCCCCCACAAAATTGCCAGTGCTCCCTAGGTGCCCCCTACTAAAAAAATGGATGAATAGATATTGAACAAGGCTAACAAAAACTTGCTCTCCCCCAAAAGCACACCACTGAAAGCAGGTGCCCCCCCCCATAAGATGCTGGTGTCCCCTTTGTGCCCCCCACTAGTAAAATCCTAGCCATACCACTGGTTGAAACCTTGCAGATATCTAGAAAGGGAAGTGTTGTAGACGGAAATTGACTTGATGTGATGATGACCTCATGATGAGGTTCTCATCAGGTGACAGGTCATATGACATTAAAGGTAAACACTTCAAAGCACTATAATTCCTGAATTGTACGTAGGATTGTATTCAAACCTTGCTGATATCTTGAACAGGAAGTTATTGAGACAAATATTGACCTGATGTGGTGATGACATAGTGAGGGGCAAGTCAAGTGATATTACAGGTGCACAATTAAAAGCACTATGTCCAATTGGGTTGAAACATAGCAGAAAGCTAGAAAAGGAATTGGTATAGATGAAAATTGACCTCATGTGAAGATGATGTCATCAGATGCAAATTAAATCCTAATCATCATGGTTGATGTGACATCATTAAAGGTGCGGTATAGTTTTCTCCATTGGTTTTATACATAATTTTTGTTTGAGCCTTGACTTCAGCTTGGTACTTGAGGAAACGCTTATATAATACTCATTTTTAACATGAACAAAGACTGTTTATCTGACAGCCGATACAGTGTGTTTGTCTGCTGACAAATGCATCTCTAGTTTTGGGTTTTATTTCTTTTCATTGATTTGTGTAGTAAATACCCACTACAGGATGCAGAAAACACATATAAATGTCTTGAAGTTTAGTGTTGTGGGCCAGCTTGACTCCACTGGAGGTTTTAACCCCATATTCAAACTTTGACTTATACATCAACTCAGGACCAGATTCAACTTCACATTTGTACACATTTGTGAGTTGTCATCTAGTCAGTCACCTAGTCTCAAGTCTAGTGAGAAGCTGTTTGAATTAGCAGGGACACAATCATTCCTTTGTCATCATCCATTCCCCTTTGTAGTGATGTGACTTGTTAATAACTGGATCAAATCCTTCGCATTGATGTATGTCAGTTTTATGATGTTCAGACTGAATCTCATGGAGTGTCAGGAGGAGATCAAATTTCCCTATGACACATTGTTGGCGCTGCATTTCTTTACACATATTTGACAGTTCTCCGCCCCCTTGCTAAGTTTCACAGTTCAAAGTGGCCCATCGTACAAAGTTTATCTGCCAAAAGCTTTTGTCCTGTAGTTACAGACAATGAAAGTTGTGCAATTTGCATTGTTCACGTATATACATATTTTCCAGAAAATAATCAAGAAGATTTCAGCCTGCTTGTGGAATGGTGGATCATATATCTAAAAACCAACTGTATACAAGTTCAGAATTTCTGTTCTTTGCACAATGTGAAGGAGAACTGTACCCTCCCCTTTCCTGCCTTAGCCCCACCTCCTTCCATTGAGGTACATGTAGCCATTTGTAATCCAGCTTCTTTTCCTTTTTCTGGTTTACAGCTACTCTATCCACACGTTGTCTATGAATGTAAGTATCACCTCTCAAATTTCCTTTTCATTTGTGTTTTGTTTTCTTATTTGGAGTCATCAGTTCTATGAACTTTGAACTCTAGAATCAGCGCATTAAAATCTAAATCCACTGCAGTGGCAGTAACATTTCACATTCTTTCCTTCTCAGCTGCCCCAGAGTTCTCTAGCCCCCTCACCAATCTGACAATCAACGAGGATGACGACCTCGTCTTGACCTGCCAAGTGTTTGGCAAACCAACGCCCACCATAACCTGGGAAGGCCCGCCCACCTCAGCTCCCCTCAGACGAGACCATCGGGTCCGGATGGTAGAGAAAGAGAACGGGATTGTTCGTCTGGAGATTTCTAGCCTCCGAAGTGAAGAGAAGGGAGAATATTCGTGCATAGCTACTAACAGTGTGGGTTCACAGACATGTACTGCACTGGTAACTGTCAGAGGTATGTACATGTATGATTGCATCAAACTTTTGGTTTTTTATGCTAATTAAAATTTCCATATTCATGAGCTACAATGTGATGTCATCTAAAGTGGAACAGTAGTGGCTCCAAAGCTCTGTATGCAAATGTGTATCACTCTTTTTTACATTGTCTTGGAGTATTAAAGTCTCTTTTTATTTGTTTATCGGGTCAAGTTGCTTGTTTGGACGAGCGTACAATGGCAAATATTTCTTCAAAACTTTTGCACTTTTTCTTTTGCACTGTTGACAAGTAATGTTTGGATGAAAGGATTGTCTAAGAATGAAAAAATTACCACCCTTGGAAATATTTAGATCTTATCAGTGTTGTTGTGAACACAGTGTAACCTCTTAAATTACACAAGGAACGCAAGTGTGAACACACTGATGAAAAACTTGGCCCGTGGAAACAGCTCTCTCCAGAACTTGAACTTGAACTGTTTATTCGCCACCCTTAATGATGGCAGCCCATTCCAAGTCCCAAGTCAGCAGTTCGCTACAATGGATAGAGAAATAGAAGTACACCTTATGTAGCAATACATGTACATAAACCTTAGGCAAATCCATTATGATGAAATAAAGAAACGGTTGACTACACATCCCTATGAATAAATTTACCCTTACTATGTGCCCCCATAAACTGCCTTACTGTGTAAATGCCAAATGACCACGTGACTTATGATATAAGTACTTGTACATGTAAATCCGAGCAGTAGGGTAATACATGAACCCAGTAATAACGGCCCTTCATAATTTACTAGCGTTACAACGTCCCATTATTTCTCCCAAATTAACCCCTTTTTCTCCAGATGACCCTTAAGCTTATTCTAATATCCCTTTGTGACACATAATATGGCAGAATTCCTTTGTCTTACCAACTGTTGCATTCCTGGGGGTTTACTTAATGAAAGGAAAGATGTCGCTCATGTACGTAGTGGATCATCGAGTGGAAGAAGCAAACGGTGCATTTCACTAATCACCCGAAAGAGGGCGCTATAACAGTTTTACGCCACTACACACAGGATAATGTGTTTGTAAACAAGTTGAGCTGAATATCCACTGCAAGTTTCCTTTAAAACAGCATCAAAATAATAATCCAGGCAAGACAGGTTTTCGTGTTTCAAAATTAAAAACTTTCTTAATTCACGAAGAGGATTAAAAACATTCAAACCCATCATTTGTTAGATGTGGCATCACCACCATAATCAATCAATTTTCTATTAATTTTAATGTTAATGAGGGTTTCAGTTTTCTGTCCTAGCAGAATTTTTCTTAACCATATGCTGCCTTGTTTAATTTGAAGTTGCATGATGTATACCCGGGTGATTTTCAAAATTTTCCATTTTCAAAATTCTTCAAAAATTCATAACTTCATTTACTGGTTGTTAACTCCAACATCAGTGACTTTCTGGTGGCAACTCTAATCTGACAGACAACATATTTCAGCCAGGCCTGCGCCTTGTAAAAAGAGCCCAGATTGTGTGGTGTTATGTAATTTTCTTTTGTTCCCGAAACTGGCACATTGTGCTGCTAGCGTCTTTTCAATACAGGCCACATTAGCGTGCAGTGGTATTGTATCACTCATCACTGGAGTGCTGGAGAGCTTTTTTCCCCAGTGGTAATCCACTCACACTGAATGCCACAAATAGTGATACAAATGACAGATTTCCTCCGCTATTGACAACTGAAAAAATGTTGGCAATTCCCAGCAGCTCAGTCTTCTGTTTTGAGTACGGTCTTTTGTTACAAGGCCCAGTTCCCTTTGTCCGATTTCAGGCAGCCCAACTATGCGTATAAAGCCAACGTCTCTGAAACCGGGCTCCCTGGCAGCAACTGGTTAAAAGCAGCTACCGTAGACAGCCTAGAATACAGGCAAAACACAAGAAATGCTGGCTTGTCTGGTTCCCTTCTTTCTTGGACCTTGTATCTCAAGTCACTTATGCCGTAGGATCCTTAGAACTGTTGAAATGTAGACTTGCTGCTAGTTTTACAGATGATAAATTGGTCACATTTCTCATGTCTACTTGTCTCATTTTGCAGGGAAACCTAAACCACCGAGCAATCTAAGTGTGCATGATGTCCGAGCAACCTCTGTTGTCATCAAATGGGATGCACCAGAACGCACTAGACATAGTCCTATTATTGCTTACACAGTGGAATATGCATTGCAAGGTTAGATGCAAATGCTACTAAAATTGATCGTATTCAGCCACTGTTTGAAATAATTATCTCCTGATATTTGTTGGCAATAGAAACAGTCACATTGCTTTCTTCATGATTTCAAGGGGTCATGTTGGCGGAGCACTTCTTTTCACATCCTTCACTTTAGTTCAATTCCAAGCTTGGTCCATGTGTGGATTTGGGTTTTCAGTCCCAAATGATCCGGTGGGTTTTTTCTCAGGATATTCCTCTGGGGTTTTCCTCCCACCTCTAAATTGTAACTGCTTCTCATTGTCTCCTCTCTACAGTGTTTTAGGCATATGAGCTACAGTACCTAAGGTTCTTTTGAGGACTCCTCAGTATCATTACATTCATAATTGACATGATTGATAAATACTAGAGCTAACATGAATGTATCCGCCTCTAGCAGAAGCACCCCCTCAGTGGTTGAAAAGAGTTTTCCTTATGTTGGTAGCAATGCTACTATGACATTTGCATTTCATAGTCGTTCGTGAACCAACAAAGTGCAGTTTGGTAAAGGACCCTCCGTTGGTCCAGCTCAAGGCGCATATTGTCTCCTGCTGCGATTGATCTGTAATATAACTAGTAATGTCCTGAAGAAACTGTTGCTTGTATCTGCTGATTTTCAACAGCATTAGAGCCACTGGCATGGCAGAGAAGCAAATGTGATGTGATGTTCAGACATCACAGAAATATTCACCATGTGGATACGCAAAAGTTGAAGACACTTCAACTTCTTTGAATTTGTTCGCAGTACATAATGTCAAATTTACAATTGCATTCACTTTCATTGTGAGATAATGAAACGAACTGTATTCAGTCCAGTTGTTGTTAATAAAATGAAGAGGAAACTATCAGCAAATCTTTTTTTTCTTCAAGGAATGAAAACGCTGAAGTGGCAAATCGCAGCTGCCTATGTCACTGACCTCTTCTTCAGGGCAGATGACCTCAACCCAGGGTCAAGTTATTACTTCCGGGTCAGTGCTAACAACGATGTTGGGATCAGCTTGCCAAGTGAGGCCTGTGAAGTCACCACATTGTCATCCGACTTAGGTAGAAAACAAGCTTCTTCGAGTTCTTGATAATTTTTTTCTCCTCCAAAATTCATAAGTAGACACTGGCTGGCATCATTTACATGTAAATTAGTTCAGTTAGGACAAGGATAGTTGACACAGCAAACTCTGTTGGCGATTTACTGCAGCATTACTGCACCAATTGGATGTGTTCAACTGGCACATTTCTCTTCTTTACATGCAGATGTAATGAGATGGTGTGAGATCCCAACCTGCTGACTAGGACTGAGTCACTTGGCTCTCTGTTTATAATCTCCCAAATTGCAAAGCCCTCCTGCTGGTCACTGTTGATTGAAAATATCAAGCTTCCTGAGAAATATTGTTGATGTACCCTAATAAAGCACAGCCCCTAATGTGGCGCATTTTGATTTTTCACCTCTAGTGCCTGGCCAGAGCAATATGTTTACCTCAGATTTTATTATAAGTGAATTTCCAGCAAACTTTCACCATACTGATTCAAAAATCTTGATTTTACTCACCTGCTCCAAAATGCCAATTTTATTTTGGCTTCGTTTTTCAATATTTTTAAAAAGTGCAAAATTGACTCTTTCAAAAAATGACCCAAAATAATTTTCTAACAAACTTGTGGTTAGGTATGTGAGGGTAAACTTATTTGAATTGATCAACATTAAAGAACTTGTTAAATGTTTATGTGTGATTTTCTGAGACTTTTTCCAGCGTGTAACGTTAGGGAACAATCAACAATTCTTGCCCAATATCCGAACAATGCCGTTTTTGAATTCAGATAAGTTTCATGACACTGAAATTGTTCACAAAAGTTCAACATCATGTATTATGAAGGTTATTGTACCAGTATTCAATCAAATGAATTCGAGTTTTTTCAACAAGAGGTTTGGCAACACTGTATGAGGATAGTTCAGTCAAAGTTGAAGTACACCATGTGTCGGGGACTCTACTATAATTCAGCTATTAAGTAACATTTACATTCGGGCAGTATTTTAGAATCATATTTGTTTGTTTGTTTGGTTTCTTTCTTTCAAGAAACTGAATCTGATTTTGGATCAGCTGCATTTTGGCAGCAAGGATTTCAAAGTACATTCAACGTCACTGCAGAATTGGGACGGTAAGTAATCATGCATGTTTGCGTATTAGTTTTGTGAGATAAATAGTGGAAAAACCACTAGTTGCTTATGCTATATTGACTGTCATGCATTTCCATTGGCCACATACCTGTAAACTTGAGGGGAAACTAACATACTTTGTTCTTGTTCAGAGGGTTTTCCAGAAAAAAATATGAATGCGCAGACCTGTATATTCTGTAGATGATTTTATTTGCACGACAGAAGAGGATTTCTTTTACCACTTATTACTCCCAACATACAGTGAAATATTCCTAACAGGCTTGCCACCTCTACTTTGTTTTCTCGTTATATTTACAGTGGAAGATTTTCAGTGGTGAAAATGTGTTATGACAAGGAAACACGGAGGGAGGTTGCCGCAAAGTGTATCAGCAAAAAGCTGAGGAGTGTGGAGCTGGTAGAGAATGAAGTGGCTGTTCTAGGATCTCTCAGTCACCCCTCTATATACAGTTTGCTTGGATGCTACCAGAAGCACCAACAGTTTGTTCTGATTTTGGATCTGTGAGTTCAATGCACGCATTAGCTTAGGTTAGCTTAGGTTGCTGGCACGAGGCATGTTTTATCTTGATGTCATGAAATGTGTCAGGAAGTACCACAAGTCTAGATTTTCATAAGAATGTTTCAGGAATATATGTAATAATGATGTACATCGGGTAGTTCAAGACACTTTAGCATTTGTGGTTTGTACATTGATACAGGAGATTCCACCTTTCTAAAGACTTTGAAGTGTAAACTGCATCCAAGTCCTTGCTCAAAATCCACTTTGTCAGGAAAGGAACCAGGATACTTCTGTCCGTCTTCGCCAATCTAACTTTACCTCAGCACCATATGTTTACTGTCTGAAGAGAATCAAGACTTAATTCAACTTTCTGAGTCCTTGATGTTTCTTACAGGATTCCTAATGGTCGTCTCTTAGAGCACCTGATCAGCCTTCCCATTGTGACCGAACAACATATCGCAGCTTACATCTGTCAAATCCTAGAGATATTGACTTACCTTCATGGCCGTTGCATCGCTCACCTAGACATTAAGGTACAAGTTGCCATGTTGCATGCAGTAGGTTGTCCTATGGTATAGGTTGATAGATTTTATGGTATGCCCTGATCTATTGAAAGAAAGTTGACAAATTACTTGAATCAGAAGGGCTGCTTCTATGTAGAAGGAATTTATTTGCTTAACAGAATCAGCCAAAAGCCTGATTGATGCTGTACATGCATGAGACAGCATATTAGCTGTTAGCCCTTTTTGGCTAGGCAAACTCTAGTGATTATGATGGTCAGTTCTTTCCAAATTGATAGAAAAAGATTCCAGAAGAAAAACAAAACACAACAGGAGGACATCAAGTAAAATAGATTGTCATCATTGTCAAAATGTAATCATTTTCCATCAGTATCAGAAATGTTACCATCAATAAGTCCAACTGAATCACTGTTTTCATTTACAACAAACAGCCTGAGAATTTCATGGTGGATATGAGTTCCTTGTTTCCTGTGGTGAAGTTGATCGATTTTGGTGATGCAGCCTTTATTGGTGAGCAGCCCTACATTCACACACTGCTTGGTAGCCCTGAGTTCTCACCACCAGAACTTGTCAATAGAGGGAATGCCAGCCTCAAATCAGATATCTGGTGAGTGGATTTTTTTTATTGTG